CTTCTCAAAGAACAGAGATTCTGTTCCGACTCCATGCTTGCTGGCCTCTGCCGCCGAGGAATCTTTCAAGTTCAGTAACTTGGGCTTCTTCTGTAGCGTTACCAAAATAGCAACAAGAAGACATCGGTTTAGTCATCTCAAAAGCACGGACAGGAAATAAAAAGGAAACAGGAGGGGTCGATAGCTTCAGCGGTATGCGAGGATGCATGCGTGCACCTTGACAGGGGGCGTGGTCCCTGGAGTTGGATGGCGGCGGATCTGGCAGCCGTTCTGATTGGGCCTCTGTTTGTTGTTGAGCTGCAGCTTTTTGGCAGTGCCGCCGTGGTCGTTCCGTACGGCCTCCGCCTTCTCGGCTGTGGTTTTACTTAACAGCTATGAAGAATACACAACACTGATTAAGACGAGGGTACACGAATACGCTCCACCCGACTCTGGATCTCCAGATACGATGGGATTATTCCAGCAGGTCCGTGTTTAAAAACGCGATCGAATGCAGAATATTTAACTGGTATAAAGTATCTAAATATGAGAGAAACAGCCCATCCTAACAGTAACTTTTAACATCTGCACTGGAGTGAAGACGAGAGTCTCTGCTCACCACTGAGCTGTTGGCATCGGGGAGAAATTGCCCAAACTCTGAGAGCAGGTCCTCCTGGTTCTTGAAGAGTCTCGCCACCTGAGCGTACACCTCCTGCTCCGTCAGAGCCGGTGTGTAGTTCCCACCAGCCTCCTTAGCGTTACGTTGCTCCTTCTGTAGTGGAAAAGCACACGTTCACTTTGAACTTACTGCTGAAACTGAGTAACAGGAGAGGCTACAAAGGCCTCCAATCTACATTTTAAAATGCACTTGCAGATTTCCTTATTTGTTGATAAAGGTTTTGAGAGTAGGGTCAAACTTGTGGTTGTGTTGCCTCTCCCGCAGGGCCAAACAGAGCTAAGTCGCTAAGCTCAATTTGGACACGGTCACGTTATTGAAACAGCAACAGTTCAAGTTTCATAAGTGAAAATGGTTTCATTACAAACATGAGGTCAAGCGGTTCCTTCCTTAAACAGGTAGTACACATGACATCTTATTTTTGTGCTGTACACTAGGGCTGCACTTTTCATGTCGCAGAAAAATAAATGTTGCAATGACAGTTTTTCCCAGAATTGTGCAGCACTTACACATAATCATATAGATTCCGGTTGGCAAAGTATGTGAGAAATACACATAAACATATTTTTGCTAAAAAATTAGCTTGTTTGTGTCTTTTTGGTTTAAAAACCAAGAATAAGATCCTTTGATCACTACGGCTTTCAGCGGCAGGCCACTGACCTGGTACGTGTGGAGGATCTCCAGGAAAGCTTTGTAGATGTCGGGCTGGCCCTGGAAGCGGTTCTTGATCTTGTTGACGTAGTTGATGGCGTGGTTGAACTCCACGGGCTGGTTGTTCTGCATGGGCGGACCAGTGGGGGTCCCGCTGAGGGGCGGGTGAAGCTGCATGGGCGGGGAGCGAGGAGAGGTGTACGCAGGGATGGACGGATTGCTCTGACTGCTCGGTGTCAATGCCTGAGGCTGAAGAGGCTGGGGAAGGCCACAAAATGAAAAGTTTTAGACGTGCCGCTGCACTGCAAAACACCAGATTTACAAAACGTTTTTTAAACCCCGTGGAGATGGGAATAACAATATATATGGAGAGAGCTTTTTTGCATTGTTTTGTCACTCGCTGGTCTAAATTACTCACCTTGCTCATCTTGGCAGGAGTGGGCTGCATCAGAAGGGGCGGGGCGGTGGTCGCAGCAGACGGGAGCTGGGAAGGATGTAGGGGAACTATTCCTGTTATGGGGATGTTCTGGACTGAAATGCCATGCGGGGTGATGTGGTGGATTTGACCAGGCGTGGTCACGTTGACCAGGTCAGCGTGCTGGACCTCAATCTTGTAGCCAGGTGGCAGGAAGGTATTGAAGCCCATGATGAGGTCGGGGTGACCTTTGAAGAGCTGTGACACTCTGCTGATGACGCCAGGTGTGTCAATACTGGGAAAAAACAAAATTGACAAAATTAATTCAAATGTACCCCGACTGTCATCCTGCCAATCACTTCTGCCATTTTTTTTTTGTAAAGTTTCATTTTTCAGAAGGTCAGTATCAGCGATGGTAGGACTGACTGAGGAGCCTCTACGTGTAAATATTGGAACACTTATTTGGAAAAAGATGAACCTGCCTTTAGATTCTTGGATTATACCTCTATTATAACATGTATTATTATTAACAAATGGCAAAATAATGCTATTAGCTGCTGAATACCAAACGTCTGAAGAAAGCTGTTTTTGCTGTTAAGTTAAATTATTATTATCAGCTCTTTCTGTATTATGTTTCTACTTGAAGAATAAATTAACTCATGTGCCTCTCGGTTGTATCTCCAGAGAATCAGTCACAAATTCATCCGCATATATTTTCCAAACCTGACAGATGCGGCTGCAACTTGTGTTTGAAATCAACTGTCATCCTGCTCTACCTGGGATGTGACTTCAAAAGCTGCCAACATTGTGGAGCATTGAGAGTTTTACCAAACCAAGAGCAGCTTGAACGTGACCTTTGAACTTTAGATTGTTCTGAACAAATGCATTTCTGACAGAGACAACAGACTGACCGTTCTCAGCAACGGAGGTCAGTGAACATTGTTATATAATTGTCTTTATGGAAGCTAAAAAATGAATATTTTTTTCAGGATTAAAGGAATGGTTCTGGTTAGATTCATGGTCTTAAGTTGCAGAAAAGCAAGTTATTATTATTTGTATTACTATTATTAGCACTGAATTGTGAAATCAAGGTAGGACTGAACGAGTTATTACTCATAAAATGTAGATTTTGAACACTGGGTTGACTGACTTTGGCTGTGCCTCG